GAAACAGCAATCAGATAAATCATCTTTTTAAGCCCTTTGTTGTCAATAGCATTTGAATGCAAAAATAAAAGATTCTTTTCCATAAGAAAACATCAATAATTATATCCTGGTCAGGAGTTAACTTTCCAAAGCAGTTTTGTTGTATTATAGCAATGTATCTTGAAGACAATTTTACAGAGAACAAGAAGGCAACTTGTCTCAATGCAGTGATTTGGACTGATATGCATTTTGGTGCACAGGTTACAGATGCATAGTAATAAATATTAAATTCTAATTGGAAGATAGTAAGCTAAAAAGACAGAGATCACAGAATATTTCTACATGGCATGGAGGCATACTGTACTATATGTAAATAACAATAATATGTTTTATAACAATTCATATTTTATTTCAAGCAATGCTTACTTTTATTTTTTTATATTTTAAATTTTTATTGTATTTATTGGGATTACATTGTTACAATTATATAGGTTTAAGGTGTAAAATTCTATAATACATCATCTGTATATTGCATTGTGTATTCAGCACCTCAAGTCATGTCCCTTTCCATCACCATTTACCTCCCCTCTACCCTCTCCTTCCTTGCCCCATTCCCCTTTCCCACTGATAATCACCATACTCTTGCCCGTCTATGAGGATTTTTGTTTATTTGCTTAATCCCTTCACCTTCCCAGTGAAGAGATCCCACCCAGCCCCCATTCCCTTCCCTTCTGACAGCTTTGCGTGTGTTTCTGTTTTGTTTGTTAATCAGTCGTGAAATTATATGGTGTCTGTCTTTCTCTGACTGGCTTATTTACTTACCAAAATATTCTCCAGGTCCATCCATGTTGTTGCAAAAGATAAGATTTCCTTATATTTTTATAGCTGGGTACTATTCCATTGCGTAAATGTACCACAACTTTTTTTTTTTTAAGATTTTATTTATTTATTTTTAGAGAGTGGAGAAGCGAGGGAGAGAAACATCAGTGTATGGTTGCCTCTTGAGTGCCCCTGTACAGGGAACCTGGCCTGCAACCCAGGCATGTGCCCTGCCTGGGAACTGAACCAGCAACCCTCTGGTTCACAGGCCGGGGCTCAATCCACTGAGCCACACCAGCCAGGGCATGTACCACAACTTTTTTATCCACTCGTCTACTGATGGGCGCTTGGGCTGTTTCCAAATCTTGGCTATTGTAAATAACGCTGCTATGAATGAACATAGGGGTGCATATATTCTCTTAAGTTAGGGTTTCAGATTTCTTCAGATAAATTCTCAGAAGTGGAATTGCTGGGACATAAGGCAATTCCACCTTTAATTTTTTAAAGCAACTCTGTATTGTTTTCTATCAATCTGCATTCCCACCAACTGTGTACAAGGGTTCCCCTTTCTCCACATCCTTGCCAACACTTGCTGTTTTTCTTATTTACTGAGGATGGCCACTCTGACAGATGTGAGGTGATGGTATATTGTGGTTTTAATTTGCATCTCTCTGATAGTGAGAGATGTTGAGCATCTTTTCATATATTTTTAGCCATTTGTATCTCCTCTTTGGAGAAGTATATATTTCAGGTCCTTTGCCCATTTTTTAATTAGATTTTGGGGGTTTTCTTTTTTGGTGTTGAGTTTTATAGGTCTTTATAAATGTGGATAATAACCCCTTATCAGACATATTGGCTAAAATGTTCTTTCATTCAGTACGTTGTCTTTTCATCTTGTTAATGGTTTCCTTTGCTGTTCTTACTTTCACTATTTCATTTTAAGTGGCCATATATTTAATAACCAATACTTAAAATATTGACTGAAAATTCTATATCATGTATTACTACTCTTGTGTTGTTTTATAAAAAATTTGAAACATTTTCCTCATCATTACTTACAACAGTTAAATAAACAGAGTGCATCTACAGGTAATTCTAAGGAGTCACTATATGTTTACAATTAGATCTGGGGTCAGCAGACTTTTTTCTGTAAGGGAACAGACAATAAATATCGTAAGTTTTGTTGGTCAAGAGGCAAAACTGAGGATATTATTAACACACACATTTAAGGCACTTTTGTAACAAGAATAAAACTTTTTGCTAGCCCTTATAGATTAAATTCAAAATATAACCTAGTATAATTATAGAGTTGTTTTAATATCATTTCATTTAATTGAGGTTTAAAGTTATTTTTCCATATCATAAAAGTTAGTTGCAAATGTCTATTTTTTAATGATGATCTGAAAGATATTTTACAGATTTCATTCTTGAAAATGGCTTTTCACATGTAGAGGTATTAACAAATACTGATATTAGTCCACTAGTATGTGATTTTAATTTTATATATTATTCCTTAGAAAGCAGTTAGAATTATATTGGATTCTTCCCTTGACATTTGTCTTTTATTATGTTGCTGCATTGCAAAGTCATCATTTCCAATTGAAAGTTTATGTGGTGGCTTCTCAATAGGGAAATTAAATTGATTTTATAATAAGGAAGTTTCATTTGTTATTTTGATTAAGATGTGAAAAATGCAATGGAGCTGCAGTTTAATTTTGGAAAATGTACCTGCTCCAAATGTCTGTGCAATGGAGATTCTTTTTTTAACATTTGACAACACAAACAATGAAGAGAACAGCCTGGCATTACTAATTATTCATATAAGTTAGTAGACTAAATGACTTATTATAGTATGTTCCACGTATCAGCACAGTTTTGCCTTGTAAGTGTAGGTTGAATTCATTAAGAAACATTTTCAAATCTGCAGCAAAAGCTAATTTCCAAAACTAACAATTCAGTAATTGTTAATATTTTCCAAGGGCAATTCTCATTCAGAAAATATTTTGGTATCCTTAAGCTGAAAAATTGCAATAAAACACTACCAACACTAAGCTACCATAATGCCATGTAGTAGGACAGGTCAGAATATTCAGTTTCTATCTATGACCAAAAAAAAATCACAGAACTACTCACCAAATTGAAGTAAATTCACAATTACACTGCTGGTTTAATAACATAATCAGTTCAAATATTTCTGGGGAAGTACTTGCTGATGAATAACAAAATAAATACACATAGACTTAAATATCTTATATTTTTACAAGCTTTTAAAATCATCAAAATTTACCTTTTTCTGCTCCACACATACTTTCTCCAGCATCAGTTGAAATACATCTTAGCGAATTCTACTTCACATTTTACTGAATTAGTGTTTTCTGAACTTAAAGATATTCTCTTACAGTTGTTACAGCAGACCGTTCGTAGAAAGTGATTCTTTAGTCGCTGAAAACTCTTCTTTGACTCCTCCCAGAAGTAACTGGGTGTTGTTAGTAACAACTGTCGATTCATACAAAAACATTGGAAACCATTTACCTTTTTCTTTAGTTAATTTTTGATGCTGCTCCCAATTCTTCGAGCAACTGTTCTCATGGAAAGGATAATTGTCTTTATAATATAACTGTGTAATAGCCACATATAGGTCTGGCAGTAAAAAAAGAGGTGGAAAGGTAGATTTGGCACACTGGCTGAAATTGGTGGATTCTTGTACTATGTGATGATGATTCTAAATAATGTGCAGTTCTTAGCACAGAGTGGGGCCTGGATAGAAGATTGTTAATTAAGAGTATATATGTTCACATATATTTATATGTATCAGTATATGCCAATTTTGTTTTTTTTCTTTTTTTTTGTATTTGAATTCGAGTAAACATAGACACAAATAGAAATATACAACACAAGATCTCTCTTCTTAGGGATAGGTTTACATGCTGCAAATAGCTCAAACCAGCTAACTAGTGTCAATTATTAAAATTACTATAATTTTTGAGCCAAAGATTAAATTACATTTATGTAATTTACACTTATGTTAAATAAGTTTAACATACATTTATGTTAAATAAGTTTTACCGGATAGGTAACGATATCAAATTCCATCTCTTCTTAATGATCATACTCTGTTTTGCAGTTATCTATGTTATTGAGGTTATTTATATTGTATCTTCATGGAGAAATAATATTCCAAGATGTGCAATTGTGAATTTCCTCCCAAGTTTGTTTTTAGTAACTATGCAACATTCAAGTTAAAATGGGCTATGGTGGTACTTACTAGTATAATAGGCAAATACTACAGACCAGGACTCGAATTGTATTTTTGTTGATTGTCTAGACTTCAGATATTCATGGAGTAGTTGTTAATAATGTAGATTAAATGTAAATGTGTGTCAGTTATTTAGTCATTACCCTGTGGATAACTCTCACATACACAAATAATATTTTAAAATTATTCTCCAGATCAGCAGAGAGTTTGCTCAAGTCATAGAAGGAAGTTCTGACCAGCATCTTTGTTGTTTCACTTCCTCTTTCTCATTAATATGTTTTAAAATATCCATTTGGCGACCGTTCCCCACTCACCAGTGGTCCCTGAGGCCTCCTGCTAGGACACTGCCAGGCTTCTCCTAGATTAGTCACCAGGCCTTTGTAGTGTCTTCTAGAGGAGTGACTCTGGAGGAAGAAGGGCGAAACGACAAAGGAAGACCCATCACAGAGCTGGCCCTAGTCTGAGTCACCCTCTGAATAGCGCAGGTACAGTGCGTGGCACTCAGTGGACCCTCCATAAATACCAGCTTAACAGACGTTGACATCTAGGAATTCAAACCCTCAAAGATTACGAGGGGCGCGATGCAGGGCCTGGGGGTGGGGCTGGGGTGGGGGTGCACGGGGCTTTCTGAAACACAGTCCTTGAGGCCCTTGGTGGAAAAAGTCTGCTTCTCCTCCCTGGAATGGCTGTTATCTCAGTCATGCCCTGCTCTAAGACGGACTGAATGTCAAGCCCAGGTCCAAATTCCGCTTTTGACCCTGGGGGCGTCTCTGGCAGGCCTGGAGCTTGGAGGGCGTGGGTGAGCGTGGAGAGCGAGGCGATAGCGAGGGGATAGCAGCAAGGGTCTGAGCCCCTGCAAGCGGCTGGCTCCCCGACTCACACCCTCCGTTTGCTCCAGGAGCGCGCACTAGATGGCGGCTCACGCAGGTGCAATTGGGCGCAGCAGCGTCCTAGGCGCGGAGCCAGCCTGACCCTGGTCCAGCGGTCCGCGGGAGCGCAGCCGTCTTCCTGCTGCTTGGCGCCCCTGAGCTGGAACCCGCCGTTTCCCCTGGAGGCAGCTCTGCCTTCTTTGACCAGCCCGGCTGGGACCTGGGGACATCTTCGGGACGAGCTGCTGGAACTCGGGAAGGCGATCCCGGAGGGCCAGTCCCTTCTGGACGCTGCGTGCGGGGCTTGTAGGTGTTCCCCAAGCTGCTTGGGGTCAGCATCTCTCAGTATCTCCCTTTCGCCCACCCAACGGGAAAGCAACGTGAAATCCCTCAGCTTGGTCGTCCGGAAGGACCCAGTGGCCGGGAATTCAGAGACCTGCATGGGGATCGGAGCCTCACAACTTTCAGGGAACTCCTCCGCACCGCAGCCACCTGTGGCTGTCTTCGTTTCGTCCTGAGTGGAACCAGTTGCCGAGGACTCTGAGGATTGCAAGGCCGCTGGTACAGACCCGGGGTGTGCGACCCGAGGGGTGGAGGGTGAGGCCTGCAGCGACCTGCATTGTGGCTTCCCTTTCCCAGGTTGAAATGCCATTTCTTCTTTCCTAGCCACTCAGGCTCCCGAACCTTTTCCTAAAGTTTATCAGCAGAGCTGGCAACCACTCCCACCTAGTCTATTCCAAATATTTTTGAATGTTTCTCCTTTAAAGAAATCAAATTTAGAGTCCACTATGTATCCTATTCCGTTAAAATGAGGTGACATATTCACTATTAAATTAGTTCAAAATATCTTTAATGCTAATATTTAGGCGGAGGAAACTGGGTGGCTCATGAAGGCTCTAGTAAACAAGGCAGTGAAAAGTGGGGTAAGTCTCTGGATAATAATCGTCAAAATACGTAAAGAATGTTGAAATATTCTTGGACTTAATTCATCCATTTCTAGTATGTTTCCCAAAAAGATAATCTGAAATCTTGATGAGTTATGAAGATCTTCATCACAATATTATCTACAAAAGAAAAAAATGAAAATAGCCTACAACAAGGCTAAACAAATTATGCTATGTTCGTTTTAAGTTGTTAGAGAAAAGGTAGAATAATGATGTCAAAATAATTATTGAATAAATCTTCATAAAGAAAGCTTGTAAGATGTTAATTTGCATGTAATAAGAGTACTACAGATTTTATTTTATTATTATTTTTTAATCCTCACCCAAGGATATGTTTATTGGTTTTATAGGGAGGTGCAGAGAGACAGAGAGGCAGCCATCAAAGTGAGACAAACATCAACCAGTTGCCGCCGGTATGTACCCAGACCAGGGATCCAATCTGCAACCTTTTGGGGCATGGGGCAATGCTTCAGTCAAGAAAGCCACCCAACCAGGGCAAGGGTATCACAGATTTAAACAAACAAACAATAAATAAACAAAACAGAAAAGAAACAATAGAAATATTGTCAAAGGGGAACAGGGAATTCTTGAAACAAATTGCAATATACACAAGGAAAAAATTACTCCCTCAAAACACAGGTACTTATTTATATAGATTATATTATTAATATTAAAATGTACTTAAGCTGATGCCAACAGTGCTATCAGGACTCACGAACATTGTGTACATTGCTAAAATTGTTCTGGAGGAAAATTTGTCAAATTAACTTTACTAGTGAAATACTTATTTAGTCTTCATTGTCTTCCAGGCACTGAGAAGTTTCTTTAAAGGCTGGGCACAGAGAGAAGGGTTTCGGTATTAGCACCCTAAGGAAATGTGACCTCCATTTAGAGTTTTACCATGGGAAGAATTGATGTTCTTGCTCTATTGACTTGAGCCCTCTCCCATGAGAAGAGGCTGATTGGACTCTTTTATCCTCGACCCTGAGTGAGAAACAAACCTGACTGATGGAGCAGACTTGAAACCCAAGTTCAATCAAGCCCAGGGGAATGGTGCTGAGCAAAAGAACTATAAACTGAAAAGTAAATCCTAGCTGTCGTAAGGCCCTGAAATTTGAAGGTTGTTTGTTGTGCATCATTTTTACTGCAGCAAAACCAGCCTATGTACACATACAAGAAAGAACTGCCCCCTACAAATAGCCTAAGCAACTTCCATGTCCTGCCCTAAAAACACGGGCAATAGTAAATGAAAAAAAATGCAGTTCACCTTCGACTACACAGAGGTGTGGGTAGATATGCACATTTAACAAATAATCACATAATACTTATATAATTGCACCTTGTCATAAGTGATTATAGGGAACCTAGCCACTTGGTATGGGGAATGTAACCCAGCCCCTACTCAGGCCAGTCTGGAGCGAGGTCAGCACATAGGATCCACACCCACAGATAGATTTTCCCATGGGGAATCAGGCCTGCATTGTACGTAGGCTGCTATGAGGCTTACTTTTGGCTAAAACTCCCTCACCCTGGATTGAGGCAGCAAACATTCACTGCATATCTCTAAGGCAACATCCTAAAGTCTATGGTAAACCTCCCTAGTATGGAGTGTAACCAGTTCAACCACTTTTCCCCTTGATCTGCAACATCTTTCTCTTTGAAGTAATTAGCAACATTCTTTCCTTTGTTATCTGTAAAAGGTAATCACCTACAGTGAACCTGCGCATAGTAAATGAGAACCATCCTCCATGTAATATACCCAGAAAAGCAATAAAAGCCCGGGCAGGCAGGGGTCAGGGCCCTCTCTCTCACTTAGAAAGTGGCCATGCCATCCGTCCCTTTTTCTCCACAGGACTTCTGTAGTTCTCGTGAATTTGTTTGTCGCAGCCACAACACATGGACCCCACAGGCCTGGGTGTGCATCAAGTGATAGCCAAGGAAATTGGGAAAGCATAGCGTGTGAAGATGAAGAGGTACAGGAGGAATTACTTTCAATTGGGAAATAGCTGAAAGCTCCTCCATATACATCCCATTAAAAACATGAAAAAGTAAGAGCTAGACAAGAAATAAAATAAAAATAAAAAAGGAAAAAGCGTATCAAGCCATGGCTGGCTAGCTTAGTTGGTTAGATCATCATCTTGATAAGCCGAGGCTGCAGTTTCAATCCCCCTGTCAGGGCACATACAAGGAGCAACCAATGAGTACATAAATAAATGAAACAGCAAACTAATGTGTCTCTCTCTTTCTCTCTCTCTAATCCCCTCATTCTCAAAGAAAGAAAAATGAAAAACAAAACAAAACAAAACAAAAACATCTCAGGCTAAAGGAATGAAATGAGCAAAAGTTAAGAGGAGCTTGAGGTCACTTGCACCAGGAAGCTCAGAATGCAGAAAACAGGGGACCGAGTGTGGGGGACTGATAGGGTCCAACTCATGCAGGGCTTTGCAGCTCATATGAGATGTTTGGTGGGTTTAATACAAAGCACTGTGCAACCCATGAACAAACACTTATTTAGGTAAACGTGTTAGTCTTTTTTAAATATATAATTTATTGATTTTGCTATCACAGTTGTCTCAGTTTTCTCCCTTTGCCCCACATATTCTCTGCCAATCCTCCCCCTTAGTTTTCTTGTCCATGGGTCATGCACATAAGTTCTTTGGCTACTCCATTTCCTATACTGTTTTTAATATCCCCTGTCTATTCTGTACCTACCAACTTGTACTTCTTAATTCCTGCACCTTTTCCTCCATTCTTCCCCTTCCCCCTTTCAACTGATAACCCTCCAAATGATCTCCATATCTGCCATTCTGTTTTTGTTCTCTGTGTTTGCTTGGTTTGTTTTTTAGATTCAATTGTTAATAGTTGTAAATTTATTGCCATTTTAATTTCCATTGTTTTGATCTTATTTTTCTTAAATAAGTCCCTTTAACATTTCATATAATGACTTGATGATGATGAACTCCTTTAGCTTTACCTTGTCTGGGAAACGTTTTATCTGCCCTTTGGTTCTAAATGATAGCTTTGCTGGATTGAGTAATCTTGGATGTAGGTCCTTGTTTTTCATCATTTTGAATACTTCTTGCCAGTCCCTTCTAACCTACAAAGTTTCTTTTAAGAAATCAGCTGACATTATTATGGGAACTCCTTTGTAGGTGACTACCTGCTTTTCTCCTTCAGCTTTAAGATTCTCTATCTTTAAACGTTAGCATTTTAATTACCATGTGTCCTGGCATGGTCCTCTTTGGGTCCATCTTGTTTGGGACTCTCTGTGCTTCCTGGACTTACTTGTTTGTGTGTTTCCTTCACCAGATTAGGGAAGCTTTCTTTCCTTATTTTTTCAGATAAGGATTCGATTTCTTCTTGTTTTTCTTCTGGCACCGCTATGATTTGAGTGTTGGCACTTCTGAAGTTGTCCCAGAGGCTCCTTACCCTATCCTTGTTATTTTGATTCTTTCTTCTTCTTTTTTTTCTGATTGAATGCTTTTTCTCCCTTATGGTCCAAATCATTGATTTGATTTTTGGTTTTATCCACTCTACTATTGGTTCCCTGTAATTTTTTCTTTATTTCATTTAGTGTAACCTTCATTTCTGCCTGGGTATTTTTCACTTGCTGTTGAAGCACCCCATGAGTTTCTTGAGTACCCTAATAATCAGTGTTTTAAACTCTGCATCTGATAGGCTGCTTAATTCCATTTTGTTTGGTTCTTTTTCTGGACTTTTGTTTTGTTCTTTCATTTAGGCCATATTTCTTTGTTTCCTCATTTTGGCAACCTCACTGGGTTTGCTTCTATTTATTAGGTAGATGTGATTTGACTCTCTGTCTTAGCAGCATGGCCTATTGTAGAAAAGCACACCAGTAAGTTGGATGGGGCAGAGTCTTAGGTAATCGCCAGGGTGGGGCAACCCATGTGAACCAGGTTGATGGAGTCTCCAATATGATATTGCCACTCTGTGGCTCTGTTTGCAGGAGGGCTGAGAAAGGGGACGATGACACTGCCTGGCCTCTGGAGTTTTGTCCAGAAGGAAGCTGTCCCCCAGCACTTGCCCTGATGCCAGACACTTCAGTTTCTCCCCTTGTGACACTGGTGCCCTTCCAGCTGCTGCCCTGGTGCTGGAGCCCAGAGAGGGTGAGTCTGCATAATTCTGAAGTCCGTTGTGGACTCTTTAAGAGGAGACTCCTGAGAATCCAGCAGTTTCTTACGCTACCCTAACCCACACTGATTTTTACAGCCAGAGGGCATGGGAGCTTATCTTCCTAGTGCTGGAACCCTGGGCTGGGTGGTCTGGTTTGGGACTGGGATTCCTTGATCCCAATATATCTCTCCCAATTTTTATCCATCACATGCAGGTGTGGCATTACCCTTTCCATGTTTTCAGGTCTTTACATCTCCTTGTGTTTCTGCACGTTTCTGTGTCTCCCCGCTCCTAGCCTACTGGATGAATGTGACTTCTTTAATTCCTTGGTTGTTGGACTTCTACCCAGCTCAATTTCTGACAATTCTGGGTAATAGTTGTTTTGTAGTTTAGTCATAATTTTTGCTGTGGTTATGGGAGGCAGCGTGCTGTGTTTACCTATGCCTTCATCTTGACCAAAAGTAAAAAACATACTAGTTTTATAATTATAACACATTCAGCCCTTAATATACAGAAGAACTTGAAATTTTGAATGTCTCCAAATGTGAGAATGTCCCTATAAAACTTTTACCACAGCTCATGTTATGGGAAGCTTCATAACACCATCGAAGAAAATACTATCCATTATCTATTTAGAAATTTAAAAAAGGAAACAATTAGCTCATGGGATTTCCTTTGAAATAAATGACAGTTATGCAATACAATTAAAATTATAATTTTGTCACACTTCTACTTGAGAAATTATATAATCATATAACAGTGAAGCTAAATAAAAGAGTGTGAGAGACAAAAAATGGATGTTTTTGAGTCAACAGAAGAGTCTCAGCAAATATTAACAACAAAACTATTGTAATTACACTATCTAAAAATCAAGTAGAAAATTTTTCTCATAGGATTTTCATTTATATAATATACATTTATAAAATGCTATCCAAAGGATTATAATTTATGAAGTTATCATGGGATCTATTGGGTAATTGCTTAAAAATGGTACTGATTTCAAGATAGAAAAAGTTCAAAATTATTTTAGAAGGACAAAAAATACTGTGTTTCTGTATTATTTTAGTGGACTTGTTGACAACAAAATATTGTAATTATACTACTTATAAATAAAGTAAAAAGAATCAGTTACTTATAAAAATCATCTTTAGATAATATAAAGTTATAAAGCATTCCCTTAAGACACTATATCAAACTTTCATTTCAGTCCACATGTAATCACTTCACTAATAACAATAAAACTAAAAGGAACAAAAATCAAAATAAATTTAGTAGAGAGAACACAGTGTCCCATTGTGGTTCTGGATCTTCAGAAGTAAGAATATCGAAAGGTCAAATTACCCAGAAACTGAAACACTTCTGTTTCAGGTTGAGTGGAGAGAAGACTGAATTTGGTGCTCGGTGTCAACACTGCTGTCAGTGGGGAATGCCCAGAGTCACGATGTGCCACGGAGGAGGAGATTTCTCGGAAGGCTTGTTCTTGCTTTGTAGAAGAGGGAGCAAGCCAGCAATCCTCTGTTTAGAAATTTTTCCTTGGGTTTTCCTGTAACATATGGCTTCTTTTGGGAGGATGAGTTGAAACATAGAATCCTGATTTAGACAGGAGGGTTAAATCAAGGAAGGCCCTTAACATCTGTCATGCGAGAGCAGAGCACTAGGACAAGCTATCTTTGTCTTGTGGAAGAGATACCATCTCTCATTCTCTGGGGTCCTGATTGCATGGGGGTGGCATCTGGTCCCTGCAAGCCATGGAACTCTGGATTCCTGCCCCAAGATGACATCTTGTACCTCCACCCTTGGGATCTGCTCATCTAGAGAGTTCCATGGTGGCTCTAGGGCCATTGCCAAATGCACCATTCAGAGCATTAGGGATATAAAAATATTTTCAAAATGTTTTAATTAAATTCTAACTAAAAAAACTGTCCGAAGTTTCCATTTTTTTCCCTTAAGTCATCCAAGTTACTTTCAACCATCACTATTCCCCACCTGTTATCATAAGCTTTTCTCTCATGAGAAATATTCTGACATTGATACTTCGCAGTGATTACTTTACATTTTTATGAAAGATTTTGGTTTCTATTTTATGTGTCCAGATTTCTACATGCATGGCTGAGGTTTTGAATTGCTTTGGAAAAATTATTCTGTGTGTTTTTGTGTGTGGTATTTGTTCTAAATTGAATACTTCATGCAAATGCACCCCCGTCCTCCCCCTTTTTTCACTGATGCCATTTAGGAGGACATGAAGTCTCTGTTGAAGCTTCTGCTTTCTACTTCCTAACTGTAGTTTCCTGCTTGCAGCAAAACTTCCTCAGTGTGTAGATTTTTGATATGATCTTTCAGTACATTGGTTTTTAATCTTTCTTTTAGCTAATTTAATATAAATTTGGTTTCCTTTTACTTCAAGCATTTTACAGAAGGGAATGACTTCCCTATGTCTTCTAGAACAAATTTTCACAAGCTTGGTAGCTTAAAAGCAACACAAAATTATTACCCTCATGTCTAGCTATCAGAATTCTGAATCCGTTTCATGGGGCTAAAATCAAAGTGCCTGCAGGGTGTGTTTCCTCTACAGGCTTTCTGGGAGAATGCATTCCTCATCTTTTACAGCTTCCAGAAGCCGCCTGCATTCCCAGGCTGGCAGCCACATCACTTCCACATCTGTTTCCATCATATTACCCCTGCTCTGACTCTGACCCTCCTGCCTCCTTCTTCTGAAGACCCTTGTGATTACATTGGGCCCATCCCAATAACCCAGGATACTATCTTCATTTCAAGATCCTTAACTTAATCAAATCTACTAAGTCTCTTTTGCTGTGGGAGTGACTTTCGCAAGTCCCCCCGAGTGCCACGGACAAAAGTGAATGTGGCCAAGATATGACGTTAACTGCTTAGGGAAGAGAAGTGGACATTCTCCCAGAGGGAAAAGGCCATGGGCTGGTGACCAGTTTCTCAGGGGAAAAAGTCCCCGAGCCCCCTGCTCCAGCGCTTTTATTGGGTTGCAATACACAGGAATACAGGGCAGCAAGGATCAAACAGTAGATAACATTTCAAAGAAATCTGAGGGCTATGAGTCAGAGTCTGTCAGGAACAGAGTTTTAGGGTTTCCTGCTCCAATCCTTAACATATGAATGAAAGCAGTCTTAGCAGAGCAGATTTCACAGGTTTATCAGCAAGTCTTTGTGATGCCAGATTTTTCCCAGGACACACTCTAGCAAGACAAGGAGCTGCAGCTCTCCCTATCAGGTATTCAGGCTTAAGGGGATTAGAGCCAGGAAGCACTTCTCCCAGAGATCATGGGGACTCTGGCTATGTCAAAGCTGGGAGGTGAGAGTCCATTGCTCTTTGTTGCAGATCCCCTCCCCCCCAGTCCTTCCATGAAGGCCTCCCAAGTGATGAGTCTGGCTTAGGCTGACCCCCGCTGTGAGGCTCTTACCCGTGGTTGACTTCCCACCAAGCTTTGGGGGCAGGGAGAGGAAACTGAGGCAGCATTTGCTACCAGAGACAAGCCTTGTCTTCTGCAGCTCACATTACAAAGGTCATCCCTCGCCCTTAGCCACAAGGGGTCAAGATACAATTCCTAAAATCAGGTAGAGCCGTCTACAACATTTTGCTGTGTAAGTTTCTGGAAATAAAGATACAGATGTCTTTGGAGAACCATTATTTAGCCTACCACAGAACGTTTTATTTAACCAGGTCAATCTGTTTCTTCTAAATGTCTACTAAGAAGTCTCTGTTTTCCGACATATTTGTTTTATGGTTGTGAGTTCCCACAGTCCATGTTGTCTTCACTAAGAACAGGACTGCTCAGCTTTAGCAAATGTTCCCCCAGAAATACGATTCTTCACTTGCAGAACTTACTCCTTGCCACTTTAGAGTTTTGTAGCATTACATTTTTTAATGTTCATTTTTTTCTTTTTCACTTTTCTACTTGTCAAGGCAGCTTTATGCTTTCCTTAAGATTGGCATCTTCATTCCAAACATTTTTACTGTTGTCTGTAGTTGTGCTTTCTTTTTTCTGCGGTGAAAGTAGTTTTTGTTGCAACTACTTGAAATTTTAAGTGTGTTGATGCATCATTGGTCATTGAAAGAGTATTTGTTGTTATACTTGCTATCAGCCCAAATTGCTCTAAACATTTACATTACTTTCTTTCAGTCTTTTTCTGAACCCAAATAAAGAGTTGGAGGCTTCAGGTCCTTACTAATAGCCTCCAGCTTTCATATTTCTATTAATGTGTTCTATTAAAGTCTGGTTGCCGTTAAAATTAATGTAATTCCTGAAATTTTCTTTTTATGAGGCTAAGCACCTCAAAGATGAGCTCTTTTTCTTCTGGAGGGCAGACACTTCAACAGTCAATTCTTTGTTCCTCTAACAGTGTAAATTACGGTTCTAGTCATGAAGAATCCTAATGTTACTAAAACTACTACCCTCCGCTTAGCCATCTGCAGGGATCTGGGGCTGGTCTGAGGTCTCTTGTCAACACTGTCACTGCCTGCTTCAGTCTCCCCAGAACCAGGCTGATGCAGAGTCTCACAGCCATCGGCTGACTCATTCCCACGGCCCCAGAAGCCACAGCTCAACCCCACTGTGTTGCTAGGCCAGAGAATGCTGTATATTCTGTCTGAAACCACGACAGTGCCCAATAGCCAGGGCAGGCCTTAGTGTAGGTGAGGAAGAAGGGGTAAGAACAGTAGAAGAGAACCTCTTAATATTCCTATCATGGAATAGACAGGGATAATATCACATTACTCCAGGAGAAACACACTAGGCCTCTAGAGGCCACTGATGCTGCTCTGGGTCCCCAGCCACCCACTCTTTCCTTGCCCAGTGCCCCACGAATTGGGAATCCATGTTCTGTCTCACATGTAAGCCATTCGCGGTCCCTGGTTGCGTGGCTCCAATGGTCATGAAGCACTGGTTGGATTTGCAGGTTGCCTACTCTGGCCGATATTTCATCTCTTAAATAATTTTTTTAATTATATGGCCTTTTTAAGGTAGATTTAGTAAATGAAATTACAGTTTTTGGTTAAATTTGTATTTTCTAAGCAATGTATAATATTTAGTACAAACATACCCCATGCAATAATTGTTACATATTCATAATGAAAAATTGCTTGTGGTTTATCTGAATCAAATGTAAGCTGGGCATCCTGTGCTTGTCTGGAATCCTTTGTCCGGGAGGCATCATTCTGTCCACAAAGCTAACAGAAAACTCACTGCTCACAGCGCCTCTCCCTGTTTTGTGCATCGGCGAAAAGGTTATGGAGGGCTCAGCAGAGTGTCAACCAGCTCCGGGCTGGAGCCAGACCACACCAGCTGCTTAGAGCTGATTGTGAGCATCATTTTCCAACCCTGTGTTCAGCAATGCCTCAGTGATAGCTTGACATGGGCCACAGTTGGCATTTACACCAATGAAACAGACAAACACGAGGAATAAAAGTCGTGTCTATCCTCCAACCCTCCAATGTTAGACAGTTAGTTGTTTTAATTTGCACTAGACTCATTGTGATCAATCTTCTTTAACCACAAACTCTGTCATTATTAGGTTGTGGAAAAAATCACAGAAATCATTTTTTTTCCCTTTTGGAGTAAAGATGAATGAAAAATACCATTGCCACCAGAGGTCACTCTTAACCTCCTGAATCTAGAAGCACTCAAGCTACAAGAGAAGTCTCCTCTTGGTACCCAGAGTAAGGAAAGACATTTTCTGCACCATAAAGCAGAACCTACACTTCACTCTACATTGTTAAACACTCACTATAAAGTTTCCACAGAATGCACACTAGTTTAAACACCAGTGTTACAAATAGTAGTGTCACTTCCGCTGGTTGTCAGTCACAGAAATATATAATATTCATTGCAGTCTCCTTCTTTCAGTGTTATAAAGGAAGAAATATTAAGTGAAGGAAAAAAACTACTTGATTAAATTTTAGGGTCCATACACAGTCTTGGACAGTGAATGGACACAGAGAGCTGAGAAAGCTTCAGTAGAGGTGAAACGCCTTGATGACCACCTGAGAAAGAAGAAGTAATGATTCATGGAATTTATCTCAAAACGTAGCTCTGCTTAAAACTGGCTCCGTTTAGCCTATATGCTCTTGAATATTTGTTATTTAATACAAGTAAAAGTATTTATGGGGCACTATCAGTTGTTTGAAACAAATAAGATGTTACTGTTTCCTGAAACCTGAGTCTAATGAAGAAATTATACACATATTTTCAATTAGTAAATTGTGTGGTTTCCATAAAGTCTTGTAACTTGTCTTTTTTTCTTGAATTTGTTGGCTGATTTATGGCTGAGATATCACATTGTTATGAATAAAAGACTTACATTCTTTTGGATGAAAGTATTAGAAACTAAAGAAGGAAGTAAATTATAAGATAACAGTCCCACGCACGACAAAGAAACTGACATGGGCTGACCAAGTGGGGGGTACGCCGGTACAGTGGGCGGGGTCAGCTAGGGCCTCTCCTGGGGGGAACCTGACCTGAGTCCTGAAAGAGGAGTGAAAATCTGAAGGAAGAATATTCTACGCAGAAGGTAAGAAATTTAAAAAGGTGGGGACTCAGGGATTCTCACAGAGATACGAATTAATGGAGTTAATGAAAAAGTTAAAGTGTAAGATTTGTTGGTAACCGTGTCTGAAGGAAAGCCCTTGCAAATGAAATGGGTGGCCCTGTTTAGTTAACTCTCTGCAGTGTGAACTGGATGGATTACTTTGTCGCTGGGTACAGTCAGTCTCCTGCAGGCCCTGGGAGGAGAACACGTGTGCCCCAGAGAGAACACGCACAGCACCCTTGTAGGATGGCAGCTTGCTCCATAGCACGCTGACCATCCTATCTTATGTCT